GGGGGCAGCCACAGCTTCTCTGGGCAACATGTTCCAGTGTTTCACCACCCTCAGGGTGAAGAATTTCTTCCTAATATGTAATCTGAATCTGCCCTCTTTTAGTTTAAAGCCGTTCCCCCTTGTCCTATCACTACACACCCTTGTGAGAAGTCCCTCTCCACCCTTTCTGTAGGCCCCTTCAGGTACTAGAAGGCTGCTATAAGGTCTCCCTGCAGTCTTCTCTTCTTCAGGCTGAACAACCCCAGCTCTCTCAGCCTTTCCTCACAGGAGAGGTGCTCCAGCCCTCTGATCATGTTCGTGGCTGGACCCGCTCCATCACATCCATGTCTTTCCTATGTTGGGGGGCCCAGAGCTGGATGCAGGACTCCAGGTGGGGTCTCACGAGAGTGGAGCAGAGGGGCAGAATCCCCTCCCTCGACCTGCTGGCCACACTTCTCTTGATGCAGCCCAGAATGCGGTTGGCTTTCTGGGCTGCAAGCGCACATTGCCGGCTCATGATGAGCTTATCATCCACCAATACCCCCAAGTCCTTCTCCTCAGGGCTGCTCTCAGTCCACTCTCTGCCCAGCCTGTACTTGTGTTTGAGATTGCCCCAACCCATGTGCAGGACCTTGCACTTGGCCTTTTTGAACTTCATGTGGTTCACGCAAGCCCACCTCTCCAGCCTGTCAAGGACCCTCTGAATGGCATCCCTTCGCTCTGGAGTGTCAACCACATCACACAGCTCGGTGTTGTTGGCAAACTTGCTGAGCGTGCACTCAGACCCACTATCCATGTCGCCGACAAAGATGTTAAACAGCACTGTTCCCAGTACCAACCGCTGAGGCACACCACTCGTCACTGGTCTCCACCTGGACATCGAGCCATTGACTGCAACTCTTTGAGTGCATCCATCGAGCCAGTTCCTTATCCAACGAGTGGTATTTCAATAGAATTTTCCTACAGAATTTCTTCTGCGTCAGTTACTTTTCAGAAATCTTTGAATAAAATTTCTCAGAAACTTCTTCATGCTGCTTTGCTCCGTTAAAACAAATTGCCCCCAAAAGACACTTAGATTCTATTGGAAACTATTTGGTTTCATTGTAAAACAAAGACTTTATTTTTAGTCGATAAGAACTCACACCCAAGTAGCACCGGTCCATTTTAAGCTCGTACTGCCCTTTCAGTCAATTCCGTGCTGCCTAATGCAGGGTGACGCTGTCACCACCACGTGTGCAGGAGTGTACAGTGTATGACAAGCGGTGGAGTGTAAATTGTCTGCGTCAGTGCTTTTTGCTGCTGTGTTTGCCTTTGTACTCTTAAGTTAAGTGGTCATGTGTTAAAGGGCTAGACCCACAAAAAGTGTTCAGTATCAAAGTCCCAGCTGACTTCTGTAAGTACATAACTCCAAACGAGAGAGTCATGCCTATCTGCTGTGAGTCCCTGCAGATGCTTAAAATTCTTCATCGCTGTTTGCTCCCTTAGAAGTTCTCTGCAAGAGAGAGCTTCCAGGTATGCCCAGAGTTAAGCCTTGTTCAGGTAAGCAGTTACGCCTCGATGAGATCCACAAACTAGGTGGTGGTCTTTCCGTCTTCTGTATAAAATCATGTCCAATCGTTGTTCTTACGGGCATACTTTCAAGTTTTAATTTTGCAGAGAATACAACCATAAGAGCAGTGGGCAGTAATGCACACAGAAAGTATGAAGATGGAGCCCACTTCTCTTCCTTACCTTTTGGAATTGTAGCTTATGTCTCATTAAAGAGTAAGATTTGTAGAAGGAAATAAGGTGTCAGGTACTCCCCGCGCCCCTCCACAAGATGCTAAAATCAAAAGAGGTGAGCTCTTGGGTACAAAGCCCATCTTCAGGACTGAGACAGTCGTGTGTCTGGGGAGATGCCGATATTCCTGATGTTTGCCACTTCTGTGGACTCTTGAATCTTCCACGGTATTTTGATCAGCGTACGTTTTGTCCTAGACAATTGATGGCACAGCCTCAGTTGCTAAGTTTGAAAAAATTCCCCCATAATTTCGTGAATTTTATTAGGCTACCGCTTCACTACTGGAAGATCAGCTGTATCCTCTGTATGTTGTATTTTTATACTTTCTTGCATGGTTTGTTTTTCAAGACCTCGTTGTCTACCGTACGGTAGTTCACTTTTGTCCTTCAGATTTTCTCCTCCTGGGCTGTTGGGTTGGTTGATGCTTATTTAACTTTCACTGTTTATTTTCCTTTGAGCAGTTTTCCTGTTGCGATCTCTCATAACAATCTGTTGTTTTTCCCACAGCACGAAAAGAGGGGCGGTATCGGGAGCCACCTCCAACTCCTCCTGGTTATGTAGGAATACCTATTGCTGAGTTTGCAGAAGGTGGTTCCCATCCAACCAGAAAGCCTCCAGATTACAACATAGCACTTCAGAGGTCCAGAATGGTGGCACGGACGTGTGAGACTCATGGGACATCAACCCCGCAGCAGCAGTCGCATGGCCCTTCAGCTGGCAGGCTTGTGAACAAACCTCAGTGGCATAAACCAAATGAGTCAGATCCACGTCTTGCTCACTATCCGTCTCAAGGGTTTTCCACAGAAGAAGATGGTAAATTTCTAATTGTTAGATTTTGAGTGTGATGCATGCGAAAATGGTCAGTGCTTTCACAGACGCGAAGCAAATTACACAAACGTGTTCTGCCGTAGAAATTCTTGCCTTAATTTAAGCTCTTCTCCATCTTTCAAAACTTGCTTTTTGTTAACTTTTTGGAAGGGGAGGAATTCAGTTCAGCCTAAATTTAATTTAAAATTTGGAATGTAGGTCCACCCGAGTCATGGACAACCAAGCAGTTGGCTTAGGCAACTTCTCTGCAGGTGCCTGTGTTCACCAGGTACAGCCCTGCCTGCCCTGAAAGCCTCCAGCGTACCTGATGTTTGGCACTAACCATGTATTTAATGGTCAAAGAAGTATCCTGGTCTGTAGAACACCTGCCCATCCGCCCCACAGAGCACCATTGGTCAGGTTTATTTGGACAGTCACTCACATCTACCTGAAACTCTTACGCTGCGGACACTGGGTCTTCCACACTAACTGCTTCATGTAACGAGCCCACTACTCTTTTGCTACCTCGCTTGCCCAAGCGTGTCTGCGTCTTTATGCTTTAGCTCAACTATAATGAGAAAAAGACTATATAGACATAGTCTTTCTGGTTTTCTGGGGAGTGCAAGCATAGCTGGATTGCATCTTTAGGGCTAGGTGCTCAGGATTTAGGTAGGGCAGTTGCCAAATCACGCATTTGAATGCTTTGTTTTGCTTAATGATAGGAAGGCTAATGTTCCCCTTCCATCTCTAACTGCTTAGTTACTAAGGTTTTATGTGCAGGATGAACTCTGCAGTTCAAAATGATGGAAAAAAAATGAAGTCTACCCTAATCGAATTGCATCAAACTTTCAGAATTGCCATGACAGAGAGTTTTAATTGTTTCTACCAATGATGACTAAAGCTGCACTCAATTTTTATGCAATCTTAATTTAAATAAATCACAGATATATTCAGGGACAAATTAATCTGTTGGATATCTAGGAGTAGCTGTTGTGTTCCTCAGGCTGAGGAACTGCACCTAGCTCAGTTACAGGAATTGTCTTATTTTCTTCAAGAACAAAATTACAAAGGAATACTTCTCCTGAGGCCTGAAACACACAGATATTTAGATTGTTTTAAAATATATACCTAATACAATGAAATGGAAAACACATGAGCACGGTACCGGTTGTTTCATTCAGTAGCAGTCTTGTTCTGTATGAACTAAATTCTATTTTCCCTTATCCTGTTGTGTTTGCAGAAGATGAACAAGTCTCTGCTGTCTAAGACTTGGGCTTTTCTGGATCCAGAGTGAGCCACCTTAAAGGAGAGCACAAGAAGACGTCCCTAGAATAGGAGCCTTGGAACTATAGTTAAAGGATGGTGGACCTGTTTGCCTCCTTCCCTGCCTTAAAGCAGCATGGGGCTTCTTCCTCCGCCCCTCCCCCTTCTGTCCCCTCTCCCCTTGCATGTGAAATACTGTGAAGAAATCGCCCTGGCACTTTTCAAACTGTGTTGCTTGAAATGCACAGTGCAGCAATCTCCAAGCTACCACTGTCGCTGTCTGCCACATCACACAGTATCATTCCAAATTCCAAGATCATCACATCAGGATAATTAACTCTGGCTGCACTTCCCAATGCCTGGAAGGGTTTTTATAAATCTTCCTCTCAGATTTTAATCGCAATCCTAGCACTTAGTCTCATTGGGATAATGAGATAAGGTAGTTGTCAAATTACATTTGGCCTTTAACCTACAAAGAGAAAAATGCATTGAAATCCTTCAAGGAGGCAGTGCTTATTTGCTTGTTTACAATGCCTCTGTTACGATTTTGTATGTTTGCGTTCCGGAGATCAAATACTGCGTCTGCATAGTGGTTACAGTATTATTTCATACCCGTAAGGAGGGTTGCCAGCCTGAGCTCCTGGAAAGAATATTGCTGTCGCGTGGCTGAGCAGGGGGGAGAGGGAAGGCAGAGGTTACAGGATGCAGCCTTTCCTTCACCATCTCGCTTCACTCTTAACGTGCCCCACCCTGGAATCTTCAACAGTTTGTAAACGTTAGCGTCGCTGGCATCCCCAGCCGTTACGGCACCCTCAGCCGCGTCGAGCGTCAATGCGGAGACGCGTGCTTGCAGCTGGCCGGTGGTGGGAGAGGACACTGTGTGTCTCATACCTGTGCTTTGTGGAATACAGGATGGCTTATTTTTTTTTTTTTTTTTTTACTATATAGTAGTTATATTAAAAGAAAAATTAACTGGATAATATTGCAGTGGAGGCAAGTTGGGATGTCACAGCTCGTGTCAGCTGTTAACACTGATCTAATAACCTCCATCTATTGACTTTGGCATTAGGGGATAAACGAGCCTTTAAGTAATGAAAAATAACACGTTTAGATTTGCCAGCCTTTGCAATGCAGAAATAGTCACAACTGTTAATGGCTTCATGGAACACTGCATGTGTAGAGAAGGCCAATGTGTAGCAACCACCTGCTCACAGCTGCTATTAACCCTATAATGACTGAAATAACCCTCCCCTCTATTTGTATGTTGGTTTTGCACAGACTCCGGAGAAGTGAAGGCTGCCAATCCGAGTAGTACTCAAATGTGAGGAACTGCTGGTCTTGGATTTTTTCTTTTTTTTTTTTTTTTTTCCATTGAACTCAGCTGATCATATTGATCAGTAGATAAACGTAAATAGCTTCAACTTTTAAAGATCAAATTGCAGTGTTTTTTCACTGTATCAAACAAATGTCAGTGCTTTATTTAATTCTCTCTCCTGTAATCATAGCTTTTGTCTATTTGCTTATATATCACGTTGTCAATTATGCATTTGTAATTTTACATGTAATATGCATTATTTGCCAGTTTTATTCTCAAGGCTGTGGACCTCATGTGCATATAGAAATACAAAACCCCAGCTCTATCACAAGTTGCACAAATGTTATATAAGCATTAAGTAATTGTAGACCATAGGACTGCTAATCTCAGTTCGCTCTGTGATGTCAAGTGCAGAATGTACAATTAACTGGTGATTTCCTCATACTTTTGATACTACTTGTACCTGTATGTCTTTTAGAAAGACATTGGTGGAGTCTGTATCCCTTTTGTATTTTTAATACAATAATTGTACATATTGGTTATATTTTTGTTGAAAATGGTAGAAATGTACTATGTTTATGCTTCTACATCCAGTTTGTATGAAGCTGGAAAATAAATAAATATAACATTAATGAAGTCCATATTGATTCTTATGCATTTTACATGTTCCACATACTTGAACAAATTTATGAAAAAATTCTACTTCTCTGTGTATTAATATTAAAGGGACATTGCCAAGTGATGTGGGCAAACCATTGGTGTGGAGTTTTTCTTAATAGACAGTTGTGCTGCTGATAGTTTTTCAAAAGTTTGGTGTGTGTGTAGTGCTGAAAGAGAATGACTGATCCGTTGTGTGTCCCCAGCAGAAACTTCTGAGATGCCAAAAAAGGGGTATGGATAGAATGTAAACAGTTCTAAAGGGAGAATTGTGTTGATTTTTATATTCTGTACAGTGTAAAAGTGAGGCATAAGTGTTGTAACATTTGGGTAGGCAGAAGTACAGAAAGTGACCCATTTGCGTTTTTACCGAAGAAGATATTTCGAGTAAGAAAGATCACCCAGTAGCATCACCAGTAATAAAAGTTGACATTAATTCAATGTCAAATCTGTAGATGTTTTTTTTCGCCCCCCAGACATTATTTTCACTAGTATGCGGAAGACTGGGTTAAAATGTCTCTGCTAAAGCCATTATCAGCTGTACCCCATTTAGCTTTAAAATGCTTGACAGGTGCTGTTTCCAAATCTAAAATTAGCTCATTTCAAAGAAAAGCAACAAAATGCTTTGTATAGAATTAATTCTTCCTAACAGAAGTCTAAAAATGTTCCACACTTAAAATACAGTCATAAGCAAGCTAAAATCATTGAAAATGTAGGTCTCATAAACATTCTCTTTTTATCCCTGGAATCTCTTTCACTGTCAGGAAGGAAACTACGGAGACTGTTAGACTGGGGGGGG